ATCAAACTAGCAGAAGTTTGGAAATGAGGACCGTTGATTTCTGGCACAGTGAAGCGGCGAGACTTAATAATCCTGCGTTCTATCTTTGGTAAGGTCGTGGGTGCGCACATATAAGCTTGTGTAGTCATAGCGAATCATTACGTTAAATAGAGTGAATGAACTTATAAACTTGAATAAAACAAGAAAAAAACATATGGCCTAATGACGTGAACTCATTTTGATTTTGAAAAATTTCTTTCCCGGCTTGCAACCTAAATAAAATCTAGGGGCATTAAGTACATATGTTCATCGGTTTGGTTCTATTGATCCAATCTTATATTTATCTGAACGATGAGTTCAAAATGTTATTGAAAATCGGTTATTTACAACCACATAAGACCAATGAGTGAAGTATAGGGTATATTAAGGATGGAGGGGGGGGGGGAGTATCTGCAGTTCGCACACACTTCGAGTATTTTCAGTTTGGTGTAGACTTCGTTATCGGTTGGAAAAGAAATGTAACTACCATTATGGTTGAGGACAATAACTACCAGGAAGCAAAATAAACTACTTGCCTGTCTAAAGTGTTTGCACCATTACTGACAACTTTCTAAGAAGCAAATTTATGAAGAGAAAAATATAAAGTTGATAATTCGACAGTAAAACTGGTTATCCTAGATCACGTTTACAAGATTCTGTCATGTGTAACAGATCATTAAATTAGCTGTTAAGATTATACTAGTATGTCAGAAAGTATTTATGGTTAAAAGCATCACTAACTAGTTTTCTGCAGTCAGAAATCTGCAACTAACGGACAGAGTTAGTTACTGCCAACAGTCTCACAGGAAACAATACGATAGAGTACTAAGACCTGCAACTCTTCTCTTCTAGGCTTTAAAATACCACCATATAAGTAAACTGTAATAGTGTCATGTTGTACGTCAATTGCAGTGTCAAACAACGGATTATCATTAGTTCGGTTTGCAATCGATCACAGCACCTAGTAGAAAGAGTTGACCATCATCTGTATGCAAGTGAAGTCAACTATGAATATCTAACCGTGCAATAAGAAACGAGTAGTGTTGCAGTGAACATGAAGTTATTCTTCGGTTTTCTTCTTTAAGTTTTGTGCTTCTAGGCATTCTTCGGTGACCAATAAATTCACTTCATCCAGTGATATTCGAGCTTGGTTATGGTTTAGAAAGCCTAGTAATATCATCTTCTTCAAGGTTACAAATATGTCTTTCTAAAGAGTGAGGATAGATATAAAACCTCTGTTGAGATATTTGCTTACCTGTTGCATCAAAACACTCAGTGTCATCATGGAATTTTCGATCAAGTCATTTCAAAGCAAGCCTTGTCATAATTTTACTGTATCAATTTGTCTCAGTCTTTAGGATTACAGGGATATTTTGCCAATTAGTTCCAAGCAGGTTTGATCAGCGGTCCAAACAACATTGATATTTGTGTAAAACTTGGACATTGAGGTAGAATGCAATTCAATATTACACTTGTTTACCTGTTGTATACAGCACAGTGATATAGTATTACTTAGTTGATGATGAAGTTCTGAGCATAAACCGTTATTGCTCATAATCACATCACAGTAAACACACAACTTTATATATCTGATGTTTATGATCCTGATATCTTGTATTCTTCGCTTTCATCGGCAGCTAAACGTTTCCTTTACTTAGTATAAGTGTTGCATCATTGCTATCACGAAATAACAACAGTAGCAGGAAAAAAATATACAGACGAACAGGAGAAGTAGCAGTAGGATCACTAATATCCCCAATCGTAGCAGATATATTTATGGATAATTGGGAAAACATGACTTCACAAATGTTTAGTCCTGCACCAAAAATATCCTGGCGATATGTGAGTGACACATTCACTGTGTTGAAATCGAAACATATCGACAATTTCCTGACACATATAAACTCGGTAGTAGGCGCAATCCAATTCACTTATGAGGTAGAAAAGGAACAAGAAGAATTACGTATGTTGGACTGTAGAGTAAACCGAGGAAGAGACGGTGGTTCAGATACTATTGTCTGTGGGGAACCGACACATTCTAGCAGGTATCTAGACTTCAAGTCATCTCATTCAATGTCAGTTGAAGCAGGTCTAGTCAAATGTCTAAGTGATAGAGCTAGAAAACTCACTAGTTAGTGCAGGGAAGTAAACAAGGAATTGAAGTAGGTGAAAGAAGCGCTAATAGTCAATGATTATCCTCTGTAGTTTATTCAGAATTCGTACGAACACGTAAAAAAGGAGAAGGTGACAGTAACTCGCGTACGAATAATAACAACAACATGAGTAGAAAGGAATTCACAGCCTCCATTGTGTTACCCTATATGGAAGGGATATCAGAAACGTTACGTAGGATTCTCAACAAGGTTGGAATTATGGTGGCATACAAACCTAAAAACTGACTCAGAGATAGGCTTAGTCAGCTGGCTTAAGGATCTGGTGGATTCAGTTAAGCAAAGTAATCTAATTTATTAAATTCCATATAATGACTTTGAGGTTATTCACATAGGTGAAACTAGCCGACTGGGGTCAGTTACACTACCAGAAAAGGATGACAGACGTGAATAAGATCAGTAATCTATAAAAACACTTGAGTAATGCATTGCATGCATTAACACATAACCACACGATCGGGTAGGATAAAACCACTGTACTTAAGTCCAATACAATAAGGTGGAGAGAGAGACTGATTACTGAATCTCTGTTCATCAAATGAACACCTAACACATGGAATAGAAATGATGCAACACCTATTGCAGAGATAAAGAAAATTGTACTACCACTTGAAATAAAGGATATGAGGTGATAAGATTGCAAACCTCAGATTTTGATAATTCATGCTCGAAATGTTATGAAATAAATAATACTGTATCACTGTGTGCTGTGTATTAAATAAACAAATCTAATATGGAATGATATTTAACATCTTTAAGTTTGCTTTCCCAAGCAACTTATAACTACTATTTCCTCTCAAAGTGATTGTAACAGACTAAGAAGTGAGAATAGAATAAATTCACTTTGTTTGACATTGTTGGTACTCAGTACCGCATTCACTCAACAAACCATACCATACATTGGTACTAATAAATAGTGAAAATAACAGTTAGAAAATACAAATCTCCTTTCCAAATTTATGCATTATTCAAATTAATCATCTTACTTATTTACCAAATTGGTGAATAAACATTGTTTTTAAAAAAAAAATATTCATAAAAAATCATTCCAATTTTTTAGCTTCACTCTATTTCATTGTTCTCCGTCTTTTGAATATTTAAAACAAAATTTTATTTATATATCTAACATATTCATGCCTTTTCTTGTAGTTTATAGTAAATCGATTTCATTTATACGAATGTAGTTGGTGAAGCAATCGAAATCGAACGACGAAACCTACACTTACTACTATTATTTATTAATATTAGTCCCTTGGGTTCCTAGTGAAACATACGGCTTCAGTAGCACGCCTCAAGTGACTTCTCTTCTCTGAGATCTTTTGAACCTGGCTCCACGACACCCCACAAGCTCTCATTTCCTCCTCGCACGACCTCTTCCATGTCACCCTCGTCACCGACGCCCAACTCGTCGCTTCCCATGGGAATTCCACTCGAGCGACTGGCCTGACGCGTAATGTCCTCAGTCGGCCTTCTCAGTGTATGCCCAATCCATCTCCACTTCCTCCTGCATATTTGTTCAGCAAGTGATAGGTTCTTGGTTGGTTCGTCACCAGCCAGAGCTTCTTGTTGCTTATTCTTTCTCGCAATCCATCTGATCTTCAGTAACGAGCCAGCGTAGGGGGCAGTTGTTGATGAATGTGTGTAGTTTATTGGAAATCCCTTTCGTGACGCACCAAGTCTCTCAACCATACAGAAGCACTGATTTCACGTTGGTGTTGAAAATCCACATCTTGTTCCACATGCTGAGTTGAGTGCAGAAGATCTCCACACCTGTCTTGCTTTTCCGATTCTGACTTTGACATCCTCGTCTGTGCCTGTGTCGCCTGTATTTGAAACAGTGCTTCCTAGGTAGGTGAAGGAGACAACTTCCTTTAAGTTTCTCCCATTGATGGAGACTGGAGATTGTTGTTGTTGGTGGTGGTGCGGTATCTTCATCACTTCTGTCTTCTCTACATTCACTTGAAGTCCCGTATTCGCTGCCCTCCCTCTTCTATCAACTTGTTAGTTTTTGCCTGTAGATCTTCAAGTTTATGTGACATCAGACACAAGTCATCACTGGCGAAATCCAAGTCTTATAGGTTCTTTTCCACAGTCCAGCCAGCGTATCACCCTCTTCTCGCTCCTCACTGTCGTCTGCTGCATGATCCAGTCCAGTCCACTACAATCAGGAATATCATGGTGGATAGTAGGCAACCTTGTTTCATTCGTTCCTGTCTTCACTTCAAAAGCATCACTGAGCTTCCCATTGTGAACTACTTGGCTTGTAGTGTCTTAATATAGTTGCTGAATGAGGCGGATTAAGGTACACTTACTATTACTGTTATTATATTATTTACTTTCAAGAATAAAAATATCTTATCCTTAAGCGATAAATAACTAAAAGAATAGAGGCTTAGCTTATTTGTATATATTTCTGAGTATTACATAATATTACAATAGTGGTAAAGTTCACAACAGACAACAAAAAAAAATTGGAGCGAAGGAAAACCAAGAATATTCTGATTTTCTGAATGTTCACAAATGGATACATAGATATTTACTACAAAGCAACAAACTAAAGACAGTCAAGATAAAGGAAGCTGAAGTAATAATGTATGTATGCTTATGTGATTGTATCCGAAGGTGACATACATGTATGTTTATCTATAGCCTCCCACTTTCTCTCTGTCTGGGTGTTTTCATAACTTTTAAACATATCTATAGATAGATTAGTTAACCACTCATTATCGTTCCCTTCCTACATGTTTTCACTTTTTCTATATAAATAGAGTATAAACAATATATCAGCTGAAGACAGAAATATACCTTACAATGGATAAATTTAACAAAAATTGTCCAGATGAAATGAAACAGATTGAAACATTGAACAATGGTACTATCTATAACAATGATAATGATGGTAAGTTGAGTTAACAAGTGAATTTTATTCTTTTTTTGAAATGTATTTATCCAATGTAAGCTATATCACTTGACCAAATAACACTTTTGATGTACTGAATGATCTTAAGAGGATTGAGTTCACGATTCCTTGAATTAAAGGATAACTGAACTCTTGAAATGATCGAGAATATTTGTTGCTCAGATGGATGGTCTTGGTTGTATTGTGTTCTCTGAGCTGGGTTGTTTAATCGTGAAGCTTTCATCGTCTTGCTAGACGACATCATCAGCACTAACTTCAGTATGAAGTGAGCTGGCAATATCTCTCCGTCAGTGAGTGATTTAGTAGCCTGCATTGACAATGTGGTCTGTGATTGGTTGTCTCCTTTTATTGTTGTGTCATCTACTGACTGTATAGATTTTCCTGATGGCTTTTCCTCTGCTTCATCTCTCACCTTTCTGTCGTTTATCATTTTTCTTATTGGTTGATAGATTGGGTCTATGTCTATACATCAACTGGTTGCTGACTGACTGACTGCCTGACTGACTGACCTGAATGCCCAACCTCTAGGAATTCTCTGATATTCTTCGTCTTCGCTCTGTTCACAATTTCTACATTACCGAAATTGAATCATGTCCATAGTTGTTATCCACATGCATTGAAATGAGTGATGAAATGTCGTGTGTGACTTTTAATAGTCAATTGGTGTTCATGTAAATGATGAAGGTGAAGAGGGCGGCCGCTTTGTCCAATATAGTGTTGACTACAGTTATTGCAGTTGATTTTGTGAACTCTTTTATAGACTGAATCATATGTGAGAATATCAGTCCTATCTTGTGTTTCATTTATTTGTCATTTATTAGTCCACTATCACAATCCATGTACCAACTAAAATATCTTAGTGCAGAATTAAATAGGATCTCGGTTACTGAGTGAATTATATCACTACAACTGAAACTCACTTTCAAAGAGCTACTTGAGTTTCTCAGTTACATTACGAGAAGGTATGATGCAATAGAAAATGTATTGAACGTGGACCTAGTACAACAAAAGAAGTAGGTGATAACAATGAGACTAAAACCAACTTGATGTCTAAATAATACCTGAATACTTATCATGTTAATAGAGTTAACAGAGGTCGAGCAATTCGACTGCGTATAGTAACCAGCGATTACATGTGTCAAGTAACATGTGTTACCCGTCGCACAAAGAGGTGGCTTTCACGCCCCAGTGGCCTAGTAGAGAACAAAATTTGGTGTTTGAAGGGGAACACCATTGTCACTGGGGTGCAGGTACATCCAACTGATAAAAACTGCATGCTAGACTACTTTGCTAGCCATCAAGTAAACCACAACGTAAAAATACCGTGGTTTTACTGTAAATAGAGGCTGATTTAAGCCTCATTTCGTTTGGACTGACAATAATATAAAATATAAGAGGTATAGTTTGTGTGGTGGTTAAAATATTCAATACTGCGGCAAATCCACGAATAAAAGGCTGACAGTAGAGTGTTCACAGTAGTAACTATGCGTATAATTCCATTAGGATAAGTATATTAGTACATTTTTCTAATCGCCTTTTTTCAAAGTGTGACACTGAGTTATTTCTGTGTGGTGCTGGTAAATCAACAAGTTCCTTATCAGTTCGCCTGTTTGATATATCATACAGTAAAGCAACATTATTTGCTAAAGAACATTTTAAATACAATTTATTCTGTGTAAGTTATATCATTTTTAACCTTAATAACATTCATTAAAACAATGCTGTTTAACTCTGTGGTATATCAACCAAACAAACTTGGAGTTATATAGTACAACACTGTAAAAGTTTCAGTTGTACATACAATAAATTATTTATACTGCTTAACGATAGATTGTGAGATCCTATCAATTTATTCATAGACATTTCAGCAAAGGAAGTCCTTTTCAACTAATTTATTCTAAAAAAGTGTACAGTCGTATATATATATACTGGATAATGATTGAAGATGAAATGAAAATTCGGACCGCTGCCGGATTCGAACCAGCGACCACCAGGTTGCCGGTACAGCGCTGCACCAACTGAGTTACGAGGACCGAACGCTGATCAGATTCCACTTCAGTCACCGAGGGTTTTGTATGACTACCATATGAATTCATGATGCGTTACTATCGCTTGGTCGTACTCATACTGGTTGTCTAGTCCCGACTTCTCATCTCAATTCAAACCTACTTGAATTAGGGGAACATGATGGTGATTGTTTTTTTGACTACCTGAGTAAGATAGCTGTGGTTTGGCAGACTAGTATTGATACTTGGTATGACTGAAGGTGAAGTAAAAATTTCAACCGTGGTGGGATTCGAATGAGCGACCACTGGGTCAGCCGTCGTACCTTGTAGCTCAGTTGGTAGAGCAGCTGGTCGGAAACACAGTAATGGCTGGGTCGAATCCGGCTGTGGTCCAAATTTTCATTTCATCTTTAATCATCATCCAGTATCTATACTAATCTGCCAAACCGTGGCTATCTTAGATAGCCCAGATTATGATGATAATGTTGGCACAAGGGTGAGAACTGAACCGATTCAGTGTAGTTTACCTCATTCAAAACAAGATGCTCAATATCACTTAAGCAGACATAATAAGAAAACCAGGTGTATATTGAGATGAATAATAAGGATAACAATGGTAGTACGAATAAAGTTAATTAGGCGAAACAAATCAAGGAAGGAAAAGAAAATTGCAAAATGGGTAGTAATTAAGAGCGAAGAGCAGATAAGATAAGTTGAATGTAGTTAGATTCAAGCTGTCTACAATTTCCCTCTGAATATAGAGGTTTGGTTAGACAACTTGAATCGCACAGGCTTCTGCAATCCCAAGCATTTTCCTACTTTCTTGTCTACTGATAACCGTAAAAGACTTACAAGTATCAATATCATGCCCATAATCTATTAGGTGCTTCGTTATCGAGCTCCTCGGGGTCTTCTTTTTGACTTAGTTCAACCATTTGGGTGCGTACTCAACCATGGGGGTAGACAGACGTCTATCCGCACAAACAGTGTATTTGCTTCCGCAGATACATTCGAACTAATGTATGCATTTAGATATGTCATGGATCGGAACCTTGTCTTTCCTTGATTATTGTAATACCCTTTTGGTAGTGCTGAGAAGAACGAGTTTAGCAGTGTAATAAGTTGTTCCGACAGACTTCTACAGCCTTCGTTAAACTACATCTGGCTTGCCGTCAACTTTGAATAGCTAGGTGATATTTAATGGTTTCTTCTGCACTGTTAGAGACATTGTTCTGCCTCTTACCCATTTTGCGTGCTTTCTGCGTACTCATTCACCACTAGCAATTTTTTTAAAGTTACCCTTTCGTAGTCTAGTGTGCTGTCGGAACAAATTTTCCTGGTTCTGTTAAACAACGTTCTGAATACATTCACTTTGTACTGGATCGGGACAAATCTCCTAAAATGAAGGTACTTTCCTGTCCATGAATGTTTCCTATAGATGTTTTTATGCATTGTTTAACAGTATATATAATCAAGTATGTAGAGAATTTAGCAGGCGAGTACTACTGAAATTTATGAAGTCAGTAAGTCCTCCTTTTTCACACTCTGCTTGTTTTGAATTTGTATCGGGAACCAAATCTTCTCTCTCTCTCTCTCTCTCTCTCTCTCTATATATATATATATATATATATATATATATATATATATATAATTTCTAACCACAGTTTGTTTCTGACAAGATGTTTTGATAGTGAGTTCTTTTTAAAAAATCTATACATGATTTTGTCATTCGAGTAAAAATCTTTTGAAAAATATATATGAAAATAAACGGGAACATGGAAAATACATTTGTGAGACCAATTTTCACGAGATCATTAAATCTGTCCTGTAGGCTAGATAAAAGAAGAAAGAATTTTCTTGAAATACACTTTTCTTAAAAACAGGAATAATTATTGTTTCATTTTCCTAACAATCACCAACTCTGTTTCTAAGGCGATAAGACGACAAATTTCGAATTCAATAAAGATCCTCCTGACGATATTCAAATAACCGTCTGGAAAGAATGGTTCTTAAGACTTTTTATCTAGAACACCTCTGAATGACACATCATAATAACCACATTGTGAAGGATAAGTTATCAAGACTGACCAGTACAGTCTCCATCTATCAAATCACATAAGTTAGGTATGTAGGTCATTAATATGGGCCTGTTCATCGCTACATTCAAGAACATCTTCCCGTATGGCTTAGTAAGAAGTAAAGAAGAACAATCAGTTCATTTATTTTGTATTAGGACAATGAATTTCGAAAATCTTATTTAGTTAAATATTTAAAAAATCTAACCAAACGTTCGCAGATGTTTACGTCTTAATATACTAGGTATTACAGAAGTCTTGGCAATTCATAATTTGAAGTGAGATCTATGCATACAATGGCGATTTATTTAATCTCTTCTCATTTCTATGGTCCTAACATAGTTAACTAATAAGTTATCGAAATATCCTGTATGTGTCAAGTTGTTTCGAATGTCTCCTATTTTATTTTATCAGAAATTTACTTTGTTTCCCATCATTGTTACTCATTGCCACCATACCCCTTTTAAACACGCAGATTTCTCAAATACCTTCTAAATGTTCCCGTTTAATTCAACATATCTAGCAAAATATTTTTATACCACTCATAAAATCATGTGTTACTTGTTAAGCTCAACTCACTGTCAAAACATCTCATCAAAAACAAACTTACGTAAACATTGTTGTTGCTTGTATTATCCTGTTGTCGAATAGACGAAATTGATTGGTCTAGTCAACAATGGGATCATGTAAGCAACATCAGTAAAACTATACCCATCGCACAAGAAGTGGGTATCGTGACTCAATGGTCTAGTTGATAACGTTCTGACGTTTGAGTCTTAGTGGGAATAACATTCACCGGGAGGCAGGTATAAGCAACTGAGAAGTCCTGAATAGGACGAAATGCACGCCCTGAATTCCATTGTTAGTCACACTATTCGTCATTGAAACAAACAAATGA